GGGCGGGGGCCACTGCAGTGGCCTGCACCAGCTCTCTCTCTCTCTTAATTTTCAGGTCTCTCTTGAGCTCTTCCTGTGGTGAAGCAAAGACACACCAGACTGTCACTTGACTGCCGAGCGCCTAGCGCTGCCAGAGGACCTTTTGTCGCCCCTCTGGAAGCAGGCGCGGTTCAGCCTAAGGCGAGGGCGGTCTAGCAGTTCCAAGCGAGTGTGCTCACTATACCTTAGACCCAACTACAGTAACAGAGGTGAAAAACGAAGATTAGCATTAGGATGGACATCCATGAGCAAAACTGGTATAAGTAAGTCACAGTATGACCAAGAATATTTTTATGAATTTCCAGTCATTTAAAATAGCAAACATAATCCAAAAACATTTCCTTCAAAATAATTTTTCTTGTTCACATTTTCTAGTCGTGAGTATAACTGAGCTAGTCCACGTTCCTTTTAAAGAATTTTCTAGAAAAGCTTTCATTTTTAGCTTTTTCCCCTGCTAAAAAAGATGAAAATTATCCCAATAACCATAGAACTATATTCAGGGTTGGGATCCTTTTAAAAACTGCTAAACACAGGAAGAAGTTCCAGGTAGTAAAGGTTTTGAGCAACCTGAGTCTTACTGACAGTGGAGAACAGGGAGGCAGGCTTCTGACACCCAACACTGCACAGGCAGATTTGCTCACTTAAAGTCAGAGACAGAGAAGCTTCTAGTAGCAAGTGATAATTTCCATGAATTACAACCATTTCTATGAATTAAAAAAAATAACTTAAATGAATCCCTAGATCTATAGAAACTTTAGATTCTTAAGTCTTACATCCTTCATGTGGATGCCTCTGAAAAGAAAAACAAAGCGATTTCAAGGATTTGCACAACTCCCACCCCCTACGTAAACCCCAGCTGCAGTTCCAGATGGCAGGCGGCAGCCGGCCCCTTTCACCTCTGTGCAGGGCCCAACCCCATCCAGCAAGGTGCATCAGTAACAGTTTTCAGATTAGTACCTTAGGAAGCCTGGAAAATACTACAAAAATGCAAACAAATAAGCCTGAATAGGGTGGGTTTCATAATGACTGTTTTCTCTGCATAGAGTCTGGCTAATCTTCTAAGATAAGCTGTTGACTACTTAACAGCCCTTGGATATTTAAAAAGAAAGTCTGAACTCTGGAGGGAAACCTGGAGCTTCACTGAGGCAGATTTTAGGAAACTCAAGATGGTCAGATGGTGGTGGGTAAGCACTCTTGGTTTCCCCTTTAAGAACATACCATGATAGCCACGCCTGAATGAGAGATTACAGCCCTGAGGAAGGGAAACAAAACTGTGAAAGGGGTTGGCGGGGCTCCAGGTTCAGAAGCAGGAAGTGGTCACCACCAGCAGGGGCAGTTTCTGCAGGCGGAGGGGCCCTGACATAATGTGCTTCCTGAGAGTGGGTCCCATGAGCAGGCTTCCTGGTTGATGTCAAAGCTTCAGTGGGCTAAACTGGGCTTTAAGAGAGGAAACAAAATCAAAACCCCTCTCACTTAAACTAAAATAAACCACATGAAGAACAACAAAAACACAGTGAGTGAATAGCTGTATCATGTTATACATATATTATTCTGCTACTTGAACTTACCGTTGAAAAATTTCCCAAAGAATTGGAAACAGATGGACCTCACCCACACTCACCATTCTGAGACAATGGCAATTTGCTGGTGGACACTCCAATACATGTTTAGTCCAGCAGTTTTCAGCTGAGGGTGGTACTGACACCTCCAGAAAGTATGAGTGAACGTATGTGAAGGGGACAAGGACATTTTTCTTTGGCTGCTGCAATGGCAGGGAAACGAAAGCATCTGGCACCCAATGCTAAGCTTCCCACAGTGTGTAAAACATTTCAAGAGGACCCAAAATATTCCTGTTGAGAACACTAATCACATCTTTTCTTTGTGGAATTTAGGTTGATTCCAAATTTTTATTATTAATCTTTGTTATGTTTTTGCTCATATATCCTGCCTAAAGGTGTCTCAGGCATATTTCTAGAAGTGAAATTAATGGACTAGTGGATTAAATGGTAACCATATCTGAAAATCTTTTGATACACAGTGATGAAATAGTCTTTAGAAATAAATTATTATTTTCTAGAGAAACAGAAGTTCTCTCTAGAAAACTAGCATTTTCATTTCTTTCATCTGTACTTAGGTGGAGTACCTTTTTATGTATTTATGTGTAACTGTCATTTTTAAATTTGAAAATTGCTTATAAGCCCACAAATTTTTCTACTATAAAGCTTCCCCCCCTTTTTTTTTAATAAAGATTGATATTTATTCATACAGAACTGGGGTACAGGCCAGAGATGCGGAGAGTGAGAGGATTCACCAGAGACAAAGTGGGGAGCAGAACAGGCAGATC